ATGTATACAGACTAGTAATATAGTTTATATACTACTGATTTGCTTTATTAGTTACTCTGTACAGAATAGTATACTTTATATATACTTAGTATACTTATATTAGTTACTATATACAGACTAGTAATATACTTTATTTACTACTCATTTGCTTTATTAGTTACTCTATACAGAATAGTAATATACTTTATTATTTACTAGTGATTTACTTTATTAGTCACTATATACAGAGTAGTACACTTTAAAACACCACTTGGGTATGGGCTCTAGCATCCTAAGAATGAAGCTGCTTGAACTGTGCTGGGTTGGTTATTAGAAATGACTAATTGTCAACATGATTGGCGGGGGGAGGGGTATTATAAGGGAGGGATCCAGCACTGACTGGGAGTTAAGAAGAGGATGGGGAAGTGACAGATGATTTACTGGGGAGGGCATCATTGCCATGAATCGGGGGTGCAGGCCTTTTGTCATACGTGGGGTGAGACTTACCTGAGTCCACGGACAGCTCTGTTGTCCTGCACGCATTCTCATTCGGTCTGCAAGTGGCAATCCTGGTGCATCTACGAATATCCGTCGGTGCTCTGCAGGTGTAGCATTGCAGGGACCTGGCTGCAAAGGGAAACCAGATAGAAATGTTGGAAGTGAGCAAACCAAGCGCTGAGGATGGCCCTGCGTGATTGCCTCTCATGGAAGACAGTTCATTGCGTTAGAGGGTGGCACCTCTGCTACTGCGCCACCCACGCAGGGTGCATTATGAAGCATAAAGGAGAGGCTCAAGTCACTAGTCACACGTTAGCTGCAAGATCAGGGCCCAGCTGGCCCCTGTGTCCCCACATTGGGTCCCAGGTCACCACAGATCCAGTGTGCTCTCTGCCCCAGGGGGCTCCCCACAGGTCCAGAAGTTTGCCAGCAGGAGAACAGCAATGGCTGCTATCATCTAAAGGTGTGGTGCCAAACATACAAAATGCACCCATTTCTTAGGCCCATACTCCCCAGTAATGTTTCAGCTTCTGTTCCCAGGCCCCTTTTCACAAGAATCTAGAAACAAATTCCTTTTGGGGTGATATTTCCTAGGTAGCATCTCAGCTCGCAGGTGAATGTTTAAGTCTGAATAGCTTTGGGATCAACTTCTTATGAGAGTGACTGTAAATGTGCGTGTGTGCATGGGTATTGGTCTCGGTTCTGATCCAGATTAGAAAACGGGGAGATAAGCTACCGTTTTCCACTGGCATAGCTTAGGGCAGAGGCCAACTGGGAGACTCTCCCTGCCTTCATTCAGGTCTGCTATTGCTCAATGCAGTAGTTGCTGGCGTATGATTTATAGTGTTGCTTTATATCAGCTGCTGCTTTGCAGAGTCAGGTCTTCGCAGATGCTGCCACATGTCTGCTGTCCTGACTCCTTTGAATAAAGCAGTTAGAAAATGCAATATATATCTCTCCTGCCACCTTCTGGCACTAAAGAAGAGCATCATTTTTCCCCTTCCTAATAGTACATCACTGGGCATGAAGTACTCGGCTACAAGGGTCCTCCAAAGCTTTGCAGCACTGGCTGGGATTGACTCATTGAAGCCCCCAACTGTGAGTGCATTTCAAAGGCAATCAGGACTCCTAGTAGAGATGATATCTTTGATTAGACCAACAAGAGTTTTGTAAAAAAAAGTCTTTAGTTGCACGCTTTCAAGCATAAACACCCTTCATCAGGCATTGGGCCCCTGATGTGTTTCATCTCCTTTGCAAATCTGAGCCCGAACCAGTGCAGGGAGAGCTCTGCTGAGACTGGGGAATATTTTCTTCTCTGCTGTGCACAGGCAGAAGTGACCTAACGAGGGGCAAAGCCAGGCAGGACTAGGCCCCATGGGCCTGCACTTTCAGCCAGTGGAAATCAGTGTAGTGGCCACAGTTTCAGGAGCTGAGGCTCCCTCACAACAGGAAGAATTGGACTGAACCAGGTCCCAACTAGCCCAAGGTCCTGTCTTCAGCAGGGGCTGGGGGCAGCGACAGCCGAGGGACCCCTGAGTATGCAGAGCAGGGCTAATCTAATCTGCTCCTCGCCTTTGCAATCTGAGCCCCCTTCCTGATCACTCCAGATTCACTTGAAACCAGAAGCAGGAGCTTCAGCAGCAGTTGCCGGGCCGCCCCCCAACCCATGCTCCTCCTCGCAGTATAAGCACCTGCACTGGGGAGTCAAGTGGGAGTTGTGCATCCTGCCCTTAACCAGACGGGCCAGGCAGAGGCCGTGTCAGCTCTGATCAGTTTTTGGCCCCACTGCTTTGTTCCCAAATCTTTTCACACGTGCACATGCACACGCACACACAGCCCCAATAGATTATGGTGGGTGGGTGGGATGGTTTGGACAAGGCTGGTCCTGCTTCAGGCAGGGGTTGGAGTAGAAGTGGCCTCTGCAGGTCCCTTCCAGCCCCACTTTTCAGGGACCCTCATGACAATCCCTACATGTCTTACCTGGCTGAAGCAGCATGGGAAGTCCTTAGGCTTTGTTTCTTCTTCCTCCTTCCCCTAGCACCCATGCTGACTGGGCATGCAACACCAGTGTCCTGACTGTGAAGTGCTCTGCATTTGCTTTCTTTGCTTTCCACTTCATTTGCTTTCCACTGTGCCTGACAGTAAAGCAGCTCATGATCGGAGCACCCCTCACTGATCTAACAGTGCCCCCCTCCCACCCAGCCAAGAACAGAACCTACCCCGCAATCCCTCCTGAAAAGCAATCCTTGCAGTCTCCTATGCCTGATGAAGGGTGCTTGTGCCCAAAAGCTTGCAAATATATATATTATTGGGTGCAACTATCTAGTTGGTCTGATAAAAGACAGATCACTTCTGCCATGAGTTTTGATTCCTATGCCTCTTCTTTTGCCTTCTTGCCTCTTGGAAGAAACACATCCCCCACCATACTCAAGGCTTCCCCAACTCCACCACGTACCCCAGCAAAAAGCCCCTGCGGTCCCGTCTTACCAGGCTGTACACATGCAGATACAACCACCAGAACAACCAGAAAGGCCTTCATCCTCAGCAGGACCCTGTAGCTCCCCGCAAAGACCCTCCACCGCCTGGAGAGTGAGGAGAAGCTTCCTGGCAGCTTTATATTCTCTCCAGTCCCATGGGTGGATTCTTCGGGAATGATGGGAAGCGGATCCCTTTGTTTCTCATTGGGAATTGCAGCAAAACGGGTTCTTTGCATAGAGAAGCAATGAGGTCACTTGGCAGGGTGCTGCTTCCTTTCTTGCCACACACCGGCATCTCTCCGAGAGCAGGGCCCCGGAGGCAGAAAACAGGAGGAAAACAAAAAAAAAAAAATAGTAACAGCTGCAGCAGCCTGATTTTGATCTGCAGCAGTTTAGCCTGGGGAGCCTCCCGACCACACAGAAGGGGCTGGGAGGAGTCCACTAGCTTAAATCCAGGTAGCCTGGCTGACGGCGGTAGTGAAGATGCAGAAAAATGGAAATCAGGGGTGCTGGGGAGAACCTGCAACTAGTGTGGGAGTCTCTGGGGTCGAGGCTTTGCCCCTGCGTCAAGGCTGAACCTGGCACAGTGATGCAGCTGGCGGCAGTGTGGACGCGCTCTGGGATGATCTCAGGAAGCTCCTTCCCATGCAACAGCATGGCTCTTTGCCCCCGAAGCTCCAAGACCTGCTCAGCAATGGTTGCTGGGCTGTCATGCACCCTCTGGAGCATGCTCGGTCTGGAGGAAACTGCATAGAAAGCTTGGGCAGCAGCAGAGCTGAGGGCAGGGTGGGAGCCCGGATGACCCCTGAGGTCCCTTCTAGCCCTGTGATTCCAAGGGGGTTGTGTGTCCTGGTCTGATGGCATGGGCCATGCAGCCGTGATGTGATGGCCCATCCAGCTGTGAGCACATGTGGCTGTGCTTGAAACACCTGGGCTGATTCCCTTCCAGATGCTCAGCAACACGGGACTGGAAGCGGCCGTGATCTCCGGTCCACTGCGTCCACACGTCCAGAAGGCCACGCTACTTGGAGCCCTTGGCGTTCCCTGTGCAGATATGGCAGATACTGTACGATCTTGTCTGATGTTTCCCTGGTCGAGGCAAAGCTTCCCTGAGCATCAGCAGTCAGGCAAAGGGAAGTCAGGGCGGTGAAGATGCTGCCCTAAATCCCTGGCACATGGGTTCAGGCTTATGCTACCAACTCCATGTGCCTTGTTTGGGGCAAGTTGCTAGATTCCTTTAGCTCAAATGTATGTCAAATGTTTGGCTCATGCCCAGTGCCGTACCTAGATTCCCGGCGGCCCCAGATGAACTTTTAATATCGGGCCTCCCTTCCACAGAGATAATGATTTTTTGGTTGCAAAAGTCTTTATCACATCTGTGGTACTGATGTCTTTAAATAGTTCTTAATTGATAGCATTGCCAGTCCCTTATATGCGCAATATTAAAACTTTTTTTTTTTTTTGCAATTGTAATTTTTGGGTTTTTTTAAATTTTCAGGCCCCGTTTCTGTCCAGGCCCCAGGCGGCTGCCCGGTTTGCCCATGCTTGTGTCCGAGTCTGCTCATGGGCTGGGTCTGTCCAGTCTGTGTGGTCTGGCCTGCAGGGCACTTGGGGCTGGGAATTTGAGGTGACGGCATGGAGGGCCTGGAGTATCCTTGGCCATGCATATTGGCAGGGGCAAGTGATAGCTGTATTAACCCCTCTGCTGCTGCCTCTCTCCTGCCACAGAC